CTAACATGCAGAGTCAATTTTAATTTCGTTTAACGATTTCCTGGAACTACTTAGGCATGTAAAGAACACGAGTAAAAGGAAAAGAGATGAGGTTAGAACTTGCCTTTAGCCTTTCCCCGTCTCAATTCTTTGGCGACACCTTTGTTTATCTCTCTGTTTCCTCCCAACTGCTCCAAAACTTCTCACAACCTTGTTGTGTCGTAATGATATTCTAAAACCCTTGGCAGACCTCTTAGATGAGTATTTATAGAACACACTAACCCTAGACTTAGTTAACCCTGATCGGATTACTTGACCCATAACACAATCTAGGTGAAAATCATGTCGGCTACTTATGTGTATACTATATGCGCAACCAACCCTACTGTAACGTGAAGCTAGAAAACAATTACTTTTGATTAAATAATTTCATACCATTAAATCAACCATTAACACAATTACATAAAATAAAAAGAATTAAATAAGTAAACAATTAAAGCAAAGTAAAAATAATTAAGCAATTAAAGCAAAACAAAAAACCAAATAATATACAATTAAATTAACCAATTAAATAAACTAAAAATGCAATTAAACAATTAAATTAACCAATTAAATAAACTAAAAATGCAATTAAACAATTAAATTAACCAATTAAATAAACTAAAAATGCAATTAAACAATTAAATGAATTTCAGAATTATCCTTTTTAAAATTAGGGGTATTACATGCATCAATTTAAATTAATACATATATATCAATATTAGGCATTCAATATAGAGCCCAAAAATAATGTAAACTGCTAAAACAAATATAAGCATCCATATCTTCTGAATTGTCCATAACTGATGCAGTTGAATAAACAAGATGAAACATTAATTTGATCCAACACAAGCATGGTTAAATTCAAGTAATCTATGTTACTTACAATCTTAGTTAAGTATGATTAATCAAAATTAAATCACATATAAACAATCCTCCAAGTTCCAAAGTGTAAACTGATTAACATTCAAAATGCAACATGTAGGATCTTTCCCTAACTGTGCACTATCCATTCCTTAACCATTTATAAATTATTGTTTCCCTATGTTCTTACAGGTCTAAAACAATAATATACATCATTTAAAACAATTTAAACGAAGCATACAAACTTTGTACAACCCAAACAGTCCTTAAAACCCACTCTGTAGTAGCTTAAGGAAAGAGCAGGCTCTCTCAAAATTGAGAGCTTGCTCTAATGAGCATAAAGCTGGCTCTAGGGCTCTTAGAGCCGGCTTCAGAGCATCCAGAGCTGACTCCCCTTCCTTGGGAGCCGGCTCTAAGGGTTTGGGAGCTGGCTCCCTTCCCTGTCAGAGCCTGCTCTCTTCCCCTTAGATGCCGTCGTCCGTTTCACCTTCGTCTTCTTTGAGTCCGGTGATTTTTCAGGCCTCTGTACTGTGTTTAATTCCTTGTTCCAATGTTCAATTATCATTCCAAAATAATTATAAGGCAACCACATGCATCGTTGTTCTCAAACAAGCAAGCTTAAACACATAGAAACAACATGAACTAGTTAATAGAAACTTAAGGAATTTGCAACACAGTTTCAACAAACGAGATTAATTATCAATCAAGCATGCATAACAGATTATTAAAGCATTCACTAAATCCCTAGAGTCCACCTAAGCATGCACAGAACACAGGTTCATAGGAAAGAATAGAACATAACTTGCCTTGAGTTTCAGATTTGAAATTCTAATTCCACCATCCCTGAATGTTCCGTTAATGTCCTAGACTGTAATTCCACCTCTATTGCTCTTGGTTTCACCTATGAGCAACCTCTCCTTCCTCCTTCTTGGTCCAACCTAGCCTTCCTCTCCTATCTCTCCCTGTTTCCCTCTGTATCTCATTGTCTCTCTGTTTTACAGACTTGTGCTTACATTTTCTAAAACCCTAAACCCCAGTATCCTTATGTATTTATAGGCTCTAAACAACAATCCTACTCTATGTAAAATTAGAGACAAAAAACCCTAATTCCAATCCTACACCAACCCTAAGTCGGCTACGTTCAACATAAAACTCTAGCCTAAGATATTCAATAATTAAATCAATTAAATACTTACAATAGTTAACCAATTAATATTATTACAACATTATTAATTACAACAAATAATCAAATAATAATTTAATGAAAACGTTAAATTAAACTTTTTAATTAACACAATTAATTCACAATTACAATTAATTCAATTAAATAATTAAAAGCCAATTAATTAAAATAACATAATTAAAATCCAATTAAATAAAATGAAACATAAATAAAATAACACATAATCAAATAAAATGCAATTAAATACCATAAATATCCTTTTTAAAATTAGGGGTATTACACTTTCTGTGTCATCTTCTTCGTTGGTTCTCTACCCAACAAATAAATAATAATAATAATATTTGAGCAAAATTTCACAGAACTTTATTGAAAAAAAAAAATTGATGAAAAACGATTCAACAAAGGAAAACAAAGAGACTAAGGTGTTGCAGGAAAAACTTCTATTGACTCTTACTTGGCTTCAAAGTCTGAAAAGTTCCAAGATTTATGAACTCTCATTCAAAATTCAAACCTGTAGAATTCTAAATAACTTTTCTTTCTCTCTCTCTCTCTCTCTCTCTCTATATATATATATATATAGACACACACACACAATATATGTATATATATATATATATATATATATATATAATTTTTTTATTTTATTTATAGTTATAACTAAGAATAAAAATTGGATATTTTTGCTGCCATATCTCTCCGTGGTTTTATTTTTCTTTCCTTTTATTTTTCTATTTCTTTCAACTTCTACAAGTAGTTACAAAAAAAAAAAAAAAAAAAAAAAAACCACCTTCCTTTATGTAGATCGGGTAAATTTGTATACATGAATCTTCATTTTGCCAATCCCCGTTATGCAAATTAATTGTTGTTCCAACAATTTCACTCTTATTACTTTAATTATGATATATATTTATATATATATTTCTTCTCCGTCTTTGTACATTCCAAGTCAAACTATTTTCTATTATTAATGATTTATTAAGGATATATGATTATCAACTTAAATTACTTTAATAGTTAAAAGAGCTTCAAAAAAATTTACCCACCTAATAACTTTTTTTTGTTTTAAGTTCCTTTCATCAAAATACATTATTCAAAGTCCAAAAATTTTAGAAACTGAAAACTCCCCAAACAGAAATCTCCCCACTTGGTTGGATGGGACTATTGTTATTTTTGTATAAATTATTAACATCCTAATCACTAATGTTTATCACCACCAATAGAACTTGAAGAATTGAATTAGCACATTGAATCACACCGTTGTTGCTAAGAGAAAAATAATACCACTAGTTTAAAGGAATTTACAATCTCTCTCTTTGCATGCTCAGTTCGTGCTTCTTGTTTACAAATAATACACCTCCTATTAATAGACTTCTTTTTTTTGGGGGGAATATTAATAGGCATTCAAAATGTTTAGAATGCATATAGAAAAGAGGGCTATAATTAACTCTCTAGAACACCCTACCACAATATCTTAGATATTTACTAATTACAATTCTATGAAAGTCTATAATTATTTAAAATACTTTATTTTATACTACAAATCCCAACAAACTCTTAAATATTGTGGTACTCTTCACATTGTAGCCTTTGTCGGTGTAGATGATCTAAAACTGAACTCTCAAATATTTTTTTGTTAGCCTCTCTCACCTCTCCTCTTTATCTTTCTATTGACATTTTGCCTTCTTACAGTTCCACTCACTTCATTCTTCATGGTTAAACCTAACTATAAATTTAAACATGATTTAATTGCTCTTATTTAGATAATTAGAAAATATATATAGAAAAAGGTATACCACCATTTAATATTGGTCATAGTAATTTCACATCATTATATTTGGATATGGTTTTTTTTTTTTTATTTTATCTTTTTCCATGGCAAGAACAAGGGCGGATCCAGGAATTGTCGCGGCGGGGGGGTGGGGGGGGGGGGGGGGGGGGTGGGGGGTGGGGCTAGTATTGAATAGAAATTTAATAACACAATTTCATAAGCAAATTTTTTTTTTTATAACATAATCTAGATAAATATTTGAAATCAAATATTACAAAATATCTATCTAAGTTGTGCTCGTCGAGTTTTTAAAGACTCGAATTCATCGATAATAGACTCCAAGTTAATTTTCCAAACAAGGTCCTGTTCAAGGTTGACGGTCATACAATCAGCAAGAAATTCATCTCCCATCATGTTACGCATCGTTGTTTTAACACGTTTCATGACTGAAAATGCTCTATCCGTAGTTGCTGTAGAAACGGGAAGAGTCAACACAAGACGGATCAATCTGTCAACCAAAGGGTAGCACTTGGATTTCCTTCTCACAACTAGTTTCCCACATAAATCTGGAAGAGAAGAAGTATTTTGAAACTCGCGATCACTAGGTACATCAAGTTGATAATGCATCAGCTGAATCTTCAATACTTTAAGATCTTGATGAGTGAAGTCCCAATGATAGAATTTCTCAGCAAGATTACAAATATTCTCCACATTAAAAGATTTAAAAGAATCATTAGGATCCAAAGCTGAGCTAAGGGTAAGAAGGTCCACTACTTCATTGTTGAATCTATGGTCTAACTCCATCAGCTGTAAATCTATTGCAGAGTTGAAAATGTCAAAGTGATAATGGTGCTCAACTGTAATATTATCTTGTTGCTAACAATGACGACAAGTACCCTCTACATAACGAGAAGTCAAATCAGGTATATCAATGTTATACCGATTACAAAATGACACCACATTTGCAAGGAAAATATCCCAATCATCTTGTCTGAATTTTTGAAGCGGAGTTTTGGTTGTTGAGACTAATTTCAAAGCATTTAAAATGTCTTGAGATTTGTGTTGCAAGGCTTGAAAAAATGCATCAGTGAATCCCATAATGCTATCCATTAGGTGCAAGATAAATATAAATTCAAAACTTCTCATTGCATTGTAAACACTTAAAGCTTACCCACGTATCTGTTGATTTTGCCCATCCTTTCTAAGACTTTCAACAACTGTGCAGGATGCAGCATACATATCAATCAAGTTCCTAACAGAATCATAATGTGAACTCCAACGAGTAGCTCCAGCTCGATGCAAGGTGCCAATCTGATTAGCCCCTTTACAAGATTGACATTCACCTGTGCTCAACAGACTTGCAATCTCATCCCTTTGAAAAGATTTTAATTCACCAACACGCTTGGGAGAGGAAGTAACAAGATTGACAATACAAGTCAAGTGAGAGAAGAATAGCCAAACCTTTGGCTCATCTTTTGCTGCTGCAACTAGTGCTAGTTATAATCGATGAGCTAAATAATGGACATAATAAGCAAATGGACAATTTTTAAGAAATAATGCTTGTAGACCATTCCATTCGCCACGCATATTACTCGCACCATCGTACCCTTGAGCTCTCAAATTTTGAATTGAAAGATCGAACCGAGCAAGAATACCAGATATTGCATCCTTAAGCGTCACTGCTGATGTGTTTTCAACTCCTACAATGTCAAAAAAACATTCCATTAGCACACCATCATACTTGACATATCTTAAAACAAGAGCCATTTACTCCGTTTTAGACTCATCTTGTGCTTCATCAACAAGAATACAATATTTGCCTCCCGCAACTTCATCACAAATCATTTTTCTCACTCTATTTGCAAGAATATGAAGAATCTCTTTTTGAATCGATGGAGCAATGTATTGGGCATTTTGTGGAACATTGTCCAAGATAACACTTGAGATTTCATCATTTCCTTTTGCTTTATACTTCAACGCTTCAATAAAATTCCCTCTATTTAATGAACTTGAACTTTCAACATGGCCTCTAAAACCAATTCCTTGCAATGCTAGGAAGCGAACGGTTTCAATAGTTGCCTTAAGCCGCATTCGATTCTTCAAAACATCTTCTCTTGATTGGGCATTCAACACTTTATCAATATGTTGTGCCGAATTATTTAAATTTTCATAAAGCATGGCACATTTTCTATGTGCTGAAGATTGAAGTCCCATATGTTTCAAGAATACACAATTATCTCCATCACCAACTTTCTTCCAATTCTTATATATATCATCAATAAGTGAAGAACGACACCCCGTTATATTTCTCTCTTCAAAAAGAAAGCATGAAAAACAATATGCTTTATCTTTTGAAGGAGAAAATTCTAGCCAAGGAAATTGTTGGAACCATTCATACTTAAATCGCCGATTCTGCCTTCCATCCCGAGAGTTAGGATAATTGGAAAGTTTAGGTTGATAAGGCCCCAAATTGATATAAGTTCGTCTAACCTCATCCCTTTGATTCACCGGGTATTCATGTATTTGAATACATAACCCGGGATCTCTTTCAATATAAGTGGAGTGGAGTTGCTTAGGTTCAACAACTTGAGGTAGGGCAGAAGGTTGTGAATTAAGATCGTTGTCAATGTTAGATGCACTAGGTATATCCTTTTTCGATTGATAATCGTCGCTCATTTGGTCTTTCTTTTGATAGAATGAGAGAATAGACATACTTTTTACTTTCTTGTTTGGCGGTTGATGTTGAGCCATTATTATTTTTAACCTAATAAAATTAAAGAATGAGTTAAATTAAAAATACCTAAATCAAATTTAACAACCATGAGGAGTGAATAATGAATTGCAATAACAAACACAGGTAATAAATTAGAAATATCAACAATGAAGTGACCCAAATTATATTCTCTACTAATTAATGGCAAAAGTTACCTATATTCACCAAATACAAAAATTATAAGCTGATCGTTTATATGCTTTCAAACATTTATCTCCACACAAATATAATTATATATATATACACATATGAAAATGTATATAGTTGAATCTAAAGCAGTAAAGCTCACCTTTGTGGTGCCTGAAATTTGAGCGAGCTGAAACTTCACCGAGACCCGGCTTTTCTCAATTCCTCTAGACTATCTGCGTGGTTTTTTCAAAAGAAGGGTTAGGACAGAACAGAAGTGAAGAGAGAGAAAGAGACTAAATTACTCAAAATATGTATATCACTATATGTCTATATCAGTAATTCAGTATACCTCTGCCTATATATACATGTGATAAAGTCATAAAAAACTCAAATCAATGATTTTATTCAACAAAATTGTCAAATACACAAAATATTAAAGACCAAATTGAGTCAACTATCAGACTATCAGTCTATCACAGTACCAAAACCACAGTTCATAACCATTAACCTCTGCGGCTCTGCCTATATATAAATTATATAGAGAATCTCAAATCAAAGACTTTATTCAACAAATTGTCAGAATAAAGACAAAATAAAAGAAAATTCAGCTGTATCAACGAATTCATCTGCTGTTTCAATGAATAAATTCCAAAGAGCAAAAAAAATTAAAAATCCAAATGAGATTTAATCAAAGGCATGCAATTGCAAAAGAACCCTATTGGATTTCTCAAAAAGAGGGGTTTAAGTCTCAAAAGAGATATGTGTCATGTGTGTGTGAGTATCAATTAGGAAAAAAAAAAATACCTACAATGGAGTGTCTTCTGAGACGAAAGTCACAAAACGCCAAACTTTACAGGATGAGTGAATCTTAGGCGACGAAGAATGGGAAATTGGGGATCGAAGATTAAAGAGTTATCAAATTTTAGAGGAACCAGGTTTAGACTTTAGAGGAAGAGAAAGAGTGAGCTCTCTGATTTATGCGAAGATTAGGAATTTAGGAGTTTTCTTGTTTTGATTTGTTTAGGGCTTGTTTGGCTTAGACCTATTTGGTTGAGTCTTTGTTTAAAAATTGTGGCTTAGATATTGGACTTAGATGGGTTAAAAAGGGAGCTAATACTACTATTTTTATTTTTTTATTTTTTTATTTTTTTATTTTTTAACATTGGCTAAACATACCAATACTAAAAAAAAAAAAATTTTTTTTTTGGGGGGGGGGTGTCAAGCCCCCCTCTGTGTCAGCCATTGGGCAAGAATGTTAGAGGGTGCAAGGCTTGAATATAGGCTCCCAAATACGGGAGTAACCCAATCACTTGGGCAACTATGTACTTGCACTTAGATATAGATATGTCAATGCCATACGACCATGCTGACAAATTTTTTGGATTAATCCCGAAATGTCCGTTCACCTTAATTTGACCTGACGGGGCAACCAGGGGCGGGCTGGGGCCATGGACCCCCAGATTTTTGAATTTTTTTTTTATTAGTATAGGCTAATACACACACACACACACACATATATATATGCATGTAAGTCTATACTTTTAACTATGTAGGTGGCCCAAAAAAAAAAAGGAAAAAAAATGCAATTGGCCTCTAACCAAATATGTTTTCTTTTTCTTTTGGTCGGTTAATCCCAATGTTTTTAACTTTTTATTTTCCTTTTTCGTAACTTCCGTTTGTTGTAGTCTACTTTTTGAGTTTTTATTTTCTTGTTTTTGGTGATTTTCTCTCTCCTTGGCTCTCACACTTTTTTGGTCATTCTCTATTTGTATTTCTCTGTTATCTTTCATTTTTGTTCTTCTAATCTAGAATTGTGAGTGCAGTCCGGTATGATGAGGATCTATGATTTTGAGCACAGTCCGGTATGAGATATATATATATATATCAATTTTTACCCTTTCATTTGTTATCGTTTCCAGATCTATAGATTTTGTGATTATTTTGACTTTTATTTTCAGATCAATAAACACGAGCATTGCATCACACCGGATTGAGGTATGATGTTTATCTCCATTTCTTATTATATCAATTTTTGATATTAATTTTTTAAAAATATATATATTAATTTTACTCTTTCATTTTGTTTTCTGTGTTCCGATATATAGATTTAGATTTTATTATTATTATTTTTTTCAAATCTATCATTTTGAGTTTAACAAAAATGAATAATGAATCTCAAGAACCACACCGGACTAAGATACTCCGAATGATGTTTCTCTTCGTTTTTCAGTTTATCCAACTTCAATATTAATTTCTTAAAAAATAAATTAGTTTTCACTCTTTTAATTTCTTTTTCATTTTTATATCATCAATTTTCAGTTTGTGTGTGAAATCGTTAATGATAAAATAAAAAATTATAAAGGTAAAGTCACCTATAATGGAATGAATCAAATGCCAAAATTAAAGATTGGTGGGGGTGGACTCCATGAAAGGAAAGTACACCACTTAATGTGTTAAAAAATAAAAAATAAAAATACACCACTAAATACTAACATTTCTAACATTGCCTAAGGAAAAAAATTAAAACAACACCACATTGAAAGAAAAAGAAACGAAAGGGTTCACCGCTAAAGTGAGTTCTTTTCACACACGCAATTGCGTTTGTTAAGAAAATTTAATAAATATAAAAAAAATATGAATAGTAAATTATTTTTGGTATAAATTAATCTTGTGTGATTCTTCTTATAAGTTTGGCCCCCCTCTCACGGAATCCTGGCTCCACCCTTGAGGGCAACGATGTCAATTCATTATGTGTCGGATGTGTTGAGAGTGACTTTTTTAACTTTATCAAACTTAAGGAGATGTTATTGTTTAAAAAAAGGCCAAACTTGTATATAATTATCAATATAACAAATCTTAGGAGATATCATTGTACTTTACCATTTATAAAAAAAAAAAAACTTTATGTCTAATTACTCCAAATTACTCTAGCAATACATTTGGTAAAACTAGAATCATTCATCCTTGTCTTGAAATAAGAAAAATATGCCACAAGTCCTTATCCCTTGTTAAGTACGTTCGGGCCTGAAGATGCAAGAAATTCCTTCTCCTCTTTCTCTGTCTAGAATTCTTACACCTCAACCCAAAAAGCCCCCTCACCTCTCCATTCCATATCCTATTTATAGATATTTACAAGATATTTACAAGATATTTACTGATTGCTGGATCTGGGCCTATTCCTCCATAAGCCCTGGTCACCTTTGATGGGCTTACTCCCGTTCGGCCCATATGGCAGTGTCTTTATATGGGCCGACCCAGCTGTACGAACTGAATATTGTGTTTGCGAGTCGGATCCGGCCCATGTCGTCTGGGGCCTCCTCAACTGCCCCCATAATTGCCCCCTATTTAATAAGGGGTAATTATTGATGGCGTCTCATCATGATGTTGACGGCTCGAGATAACCACGTGGGGGAGCGGACAGTCAGATCCAGAATCAATGTTCCGGGGCTCGAGGAATTTCTCGCTTTCCCGACGCTTCGGCCCTCGGGCCCCCTCGCCTTTATAATGCTCTAGAATTCCACTTCACTTCCCTTTACCGTCTCCATCATCAGCCAAGTCTCTCTCTTTCTAGAACAGTGCTAAGCTTTTTTCTGGTGAAATCCTTCAAGAGTCATTCTTCCAGCGATCTTGCAGTCCTCCGAGGTTAGTTTCGTTCTTTTTACTTTCGGCAGGCTTCCATTTACCCCCTTTTAGATTCTTCTAGCACTCCCACCATGGTTGTAGATCTGGATGTTCTTCGTATGAGACTTAGACTTCCTGACAACATCGAAGTTAGGGTTTGCCCCCAGGATGTTAACATTATGACCGGCGCCGGCCTCCTGCCCGGCGAAGTCTTATTCACGAACCTTCAATTGAATGTTGTTAGGTTCCCTCTACACCCTTTCTTTAGTTATGTCTTCAATAGATTGGGGATATCCCCTCTGCAGGTCAACCCCAACTTCTTTAGAATCATATCTGTTATGCTCTTGTTGATGCGTGACAGAAATCTGGACCTCGACCTCATAGACCTCCTTCTGTGCTATAAGGTCAGTAAGATCCGTACTAACGAACCCTTCTACCACCTCTACCCGTTCGAGAAGATGTCCATATGTACGGACACAATAAAATCTGAGAAGGGTTGGAGGGATAGCATAGTGGGCATCAGTGGGGCTTGGTCTTCGCCGGCTGCAGAGGATTACCCAATCCTGAGCGCCTTTGGTGTCTGTTCTGTCTCCTCCTATAAGAAATTCAAATCTCATAAACATGACTGCCCCTGCGAAACATGCGTTCCTCGTTTTTGCACTTTCTTATGCCGTTCCTTGGGAATACCTTGTGATGACTTGAGCTATAGTGTTTGCAGGGATAGGAGTAACTACTTGAAGAAATACGTTCTGAACGATATTCCTTCCTGCTCAGATCTCCTCACTTCAGACAACCTCTTAGCGCCTCATCACTCGGCTACAACATGAGCAGACTTCAGATTCCTTCTTTTGGCAGGAAGAAAAATACTCCCCCAGCCACTCCTGCTGCTGGGGCGACCTCCTCTCCAGCGTCAGCTTCTTCCTCAGCCACCATATCTGACACTGTCCCGAGCGCAGTGGCTATTAACCCTGTTGCCAGCGCCCCTGCTGCCAACCAGAACGCGTCCCCCCCAGCTACCATAGCTCCTGCTGCTGCGGGGGGCGGTCGGGACAAAGAACGAGGCAAAAGGCCTCATCCTGATAGTGAAGTCGATCCTGAGGAGGAGCCTCTCATTAGAAGGACCCGGGTCTCCGGGCCGGGTGCTCTCTTGCAC